AAAAGGCTGATCTTCTTATTGATTAGGTTTGAACCCATCTAACATTGTGCTCAGAGTTGCTCTAAAGCAGTGTTTTTCAAATGTGGCAACTCTAAGATATGTGGAAATCAACTTTAAGAATTCCCCCAAACAGTTGGGGAATTCCTGTAGTAGAAATCCACAAATCTTAAAGTTGCCAAGTTTGAAAAAACCCTGACCTAAAATGAAATAATATTCAGAGCTTTATTGTTGAGTGAGCTAGGAATACTTCTTCAACAAAGTTGATCCCCAGTTCAGATGTGTGTGGGGTATGTATGATTTATTGACCTAAAAGACATCCACGGGGTTGGTTCAAGGCATTTCATTCCTAAGGCTAAGAAGCAAACAGTACACAGTATTAGAATTTCATATTTTAAGGGCAGAAAAATCACAGATGCCTCTCCTACAGCCTGACAATGCAAGAACATAACAATGAATCAATAATTATTCTTTTGCTGTCTTTTTGTGATGTCCAACCTTCTGTTGCCTGTTATCCTTAAAAATATTTTCTGTTCTATATTCTCTGAGAATAATGGAAATTTATCCATAGCTAGTATTTCACCTAAAGTAAATCAAACAAACCTAAATAAAAAAAGTTCCTTAGTCTACATACTTCTCCATTTTCCATGCCATAGATATGGAATTCTGCTGAAACCAAGAATTTCTTTTAATTTTTTTCCTGTTAGTGTCTCATCTATTCTATTCTCGTCTCTTCTGAAAGTATCATGACTCTGACCATGTTTAAAGGACCTGATGCTTAAGGTACCTGAATATATGGCCACTCTTTGTGATACAGTCTCAGGAGAAGCATCCAGCATGTTATCAGCTTGTGGCTCTTATCAACTCCCTGTGGGAGAGCTTTATTAATTGTTACTAAAAGGGATAATACAACATGAGCATAACATAAAGATGTTTCATTGAGTGACTAATGAACTTCCTGGAATTTTCTGTGTAAGTAGAATAGTGTTTTTTAAACTTGGAAATTAGACTTCTGGGAGTTGAAGTCCACACATCTTAAGAGTTGCCAAATTAGAACAACCTGACTTGTCAGGCAGAGTAGGAAAATAGGAGACTGGTTTGAGCTCTAGTGTGTGAATATTTAAGAAGCAGTTCTCATGAATAGGGTCGAATCAGTGGAATAATATCTCTGACTGAATGTCCACCTGGCAGTGGGCCCTCTCCAAGTGTCTTTCGGGAAAGGCCTCCCTAGTAAGGCTTGCTTAGCACCTAGTTTATTATCTTTTTAGTGCCAGTTAGGCAGAGATATTTTTATTCCCTGGAAATCATTACTCTTTATATGGTATATATTTTAAAAGGCTGTATTTTAAGGGATACTGACTCAAAAACTTTAAAAAAAATATATAACTTCTGAACCTGATGAAGTGGAATGGTGTGCATCCTATTACCTGAAAATTCATTAACAAAAGACTAATAAGAATGTCACCTTCTGTATTAGTACAACTAAGATGTCCTTATTTTCTTTGTACCCAATAAGCACTGCAACAACTGGCAGAATGGCTCCAACAGCCATGATGAGGAAAATATTGCTTGGATGCTACCAACACCAGAGGCACAGGCCTTCAAATAAAAAACATCAACACATGGCTTGCATTTGCAACCAACTGCCCTCTCTCTTCTTTCATTGCATCTCATTATGATTAAGAGAATTTAAGAGTTCATTTTGTGAACAGAGTATTTGAGATCAATACCTATGCCCAATACGTCAAAAAGTGCCTCTAGCATTCTATTACTCTTTTATCTGGGCTCGGGCTTTATAATTGATCCCAAAGGAGTCCCAATCTATCTGCACACAAATATACAATCACCCCATTCATGCATGGCACTAAATTATGAGCTTTCCTTGGTTCTAGCTTAACACACTACAGGAACCTAGTCTCTGATATAAGCCACAGTAATAGTTTAGTTTAATACCATAATAGTAGCCAGTGTTGGTTTATAGAAATTTATGTTGGTTAAACAAACTGTGTTTGTCTTGGTATAGCTGTCTTCATAGATGAAAAATCTATAAATATGGCTCTCAAACACATTTTAAACATTAAAAATTGTTGAGAATATTCATAGTTCAGGTTGTAGGTTTTGGTAGGGGTCTATTCCCTGACCTTGCTGTTTAGCTCCTGGACGTTTCATTACCAAACTACGTAACATCTTCAGTGGGGTTTCACCCAAAAATCCCGCTGAAGATGTTACCTAGTTTGGTAATGAAATGTCCGGGAGCTAAACATTAAGGTAAAAGAACTGACCTCTGCCAAAACATTTAAAACTTCCTTTCAACATTATTATCTTGTGGGAGTTACAGTACAAAGCATGCCTTTTCCCTGGCAGCCTCTGCCCCATGGAACAGCCTTCTAAACACCCCCCTAAAGTTCAGCAGGCCTCTACCATCCTCAACTTCCATAAAACACTGACTTTTCTCCCAGGCGCTCTCATGAGGTGATTGCTCAATGGAAGCTTGACTTCCACCAGATTTTTGTTTATATGTACTTGATTTTAAAAGTTTTAATATGGTTTTTGTGTTATTTTAATTTTTAACTGAGAACTGCCCAGAATTTGTTATACGATGAGTGGCTATATAAATGTTTTAAATTAATAAATAAATTTTGAGTATACAGCAAGATCCAGTGATGGGATTCAAGTAATTTAACAACCGGTTCTCTGCCCTAATGATTTCTTCCAACAACCAGTTTGCCAAACTGCTCAGAAAGTTAACAACCGGTTCTCCCGAAGTGGTGCGAACTGGCTGAATCCCATCACTGGCAAGATCCTTATGTTAAGAGTTTCCTTCCAAGCCCCAATCAGTCCTATCTAACAGTTAGTGATGAGGGCTAGCTACTAAGAGTTGCAATCTAATAATACCAGAAGCGTGTACATTGTCTCTCCATGTTCATTGGCTAAGATTTTGATAATCAAAATTCAATAAGCTAGAAGGAGAAGTCACAGTATTACAATCTTTAGCAGCTATAGCTGAAATGGAGTAGGAAACTGACTTTCAATTAACTGGGGGTTGGGCGGAGAGATGGAAGCGGGAGGGGGGGACTAAGACAGAATGATGGATGGGATGGGAAAATTGTCTGGTAATTTTTGTTTCAAACTTTTGGCAAGAAGATACTTTCCCCCAAAGTCTGATTGCATAGAGGAAAAAGTAGAAAAACATAAAGAGGGGGAAGGACGCCTTATTTAATTTTGGTACAGGCTTTACCATCCCCTCACAGAGAATACAACTTCAACAGAAAAATAATTTTCCCTCTTTGCATTAGGGTCAGGATACAGTAGGGCACAAGAAAGAAAACATGCAAGTTCTAAAGGATATAGAAGCATTTCGAAATCTCGTGGCTGATCTGCAGAAATCCTTGTAAATTTCACAGCCGAAGCAGGAAGCCAGTCGTCACCCTTTAAAGGCTTGTTTGTCTAACAGTTAGGAATGAAGCAACACGCAAACATTACTACTAATTATACTTTTTCCACATAGACATTTAAGAGACAGTTTTATCTGCAGAAATTCCACTGACAAAACCTTTTTCATATGAATTGAATATAGATTTCTTTTTATACTCACTGCTATAATTGAATATTTACTAAAATGTTTAACAGAATATCTAAAAGCAATTTTCTTTTATGAAAAAGGGCAAAACATAGAGAGTGATGGTTGTATTGCTAATATCTCTGTCTTAAAAGGAAGCAAGAGGTCACCTTTGTTACATTTGTTTGATGTGTATATTTTATCACTTTTAATATGTTTTGCTATTCCCTTTCCTTTTATGTTAGTATTTCAATATATCAAAACCTAATAGAGGTATTATATAGAAAAACACAGAAAAATATTCTAACTTGCTTGGGAAAAAATTCAAAAGTAAATTGTACCAACTTTAGGATCTATAGCATATGGTGTCTTATATCCAAGAATTTAAAAAGATAAACATTTAAATATTTCCTCAATTTTTTTCTTTTTATATGCCACAGAGTGGCACTCATGCTTGGTATATTTTTCTTTCACATAAACAAACAAACCAACCAACCCATGGAGGGAAATTAAAATTAGTTTTCTCTAACATTGTACAGTATTTTCTAAATTTATATACAAAATGTTTTCAATCAGATCTGCAATCACATTCGGCAGAAAATACTTGCTTTTTAAGAATGAAAAACTAGTCTCCAGATACTGTATTTAGTACAATGCAATCCACAATACACTTTAATAAATGCATTTGTTTTCTGTTCTCATGATAATTAAAATGCATGAGGGACAATTTAGGATTAGGTTCCTGGTTTTGTCTTGGTTTAGCTGGTGCTGTGTTCTGGATCAAAATTATGACCAACTGATGTAAAAAATTCACTTTTTGAAAACTTCCAAGTACCTATATCAATTTCTTAGAAAGTAGTTTCTAGATGAGGCATTTGTTATACAGTTAGTTCTCCATGCAGAGAACATTTGGAGGAAAGTAAATATTCAAATGATAATATCTGCTGCTTGCAAATCATGTTTAACTCTTAATGATGACGCTGTCCAGTTTCCTTAAGATATTAATATTATAATTATTACTAAAATGGGGCAATGAGGAAGAAAGGAAGAAGAAAAGAGAAATATTGCTCCCTATTTCCAGAAGGGGAGCTATATTAAACACTTGGATAAGCGCTAGGCGGCAGAAAACATACCTAAAACTCTTGACTGCTGCCGTCATCTAGCGACAGCCAGTTTTTAAATTACTATTAGCCTTCAGGCTACGTCCGCCTGCTGAAGAAATCAGCCGCGGGAAAGCCCCGAGGGCTGTGGAGGGGGGGGGGGAGAGAGAGAGAGAGAGAGAGAAACGCGATCTCTCTTCCCTGACCACGCCCTCCCGCTTCTCGATTTGCATTGGAAGCTTCGGGACTCTCGAAGAAAGTTTAAGGCAGCCGATCGAAACAAACTAGCGGCGATCTTAAACCGGAAGGACCGTGCACGCGGAGAACATCCGGTTGCCGCTCTAGGCGGCGGAGATGGGGGCGCCGTCTATGGTGTTCGCGCGCTTTGTGATGTTTTATTGTGTCGCGGGGATTCGGCGGCCTGGAAACCCGGAACCGTCAGGAGAAGCGGCGGCGGCGGCGGCGGTTGCCGAACGTCTGTGGGTCGCTTAGCGGCCGGTTCTTCTCGGAAGCCGTTGAGCCCAGAGGAGGAGGCGGAAAGGCCGTCGGGGCTGTACGTCAGTAACGGTCTTCGTGCCGCGAACCGTTGCACGCGAGCCTACGGGGGAAGCGGGGTCAGAAGTGCCGGGGTGGGTTTTTTTTTTTTTCCTCCCTTCCTCCCTTTCCGCCTGGCATCTTGAGATGGAGGAAGAGCTGAAGAGGTTTGGGGGGGGGGGGGGGGGGGGGCGAAGGAAAGGAAGGCTTCTGCGCCCAGGAAAGGCCGAAGAGTTGCTTTGGGTGCAAAAACGGAGGCTGCTACGTTTCTTCTTCTCCCCTCCTCCCTCTCTCCGCATCTGCTCCAGAGCTTTCTCCCATCTTCCTTCCCGTTTCGGCTGCGGGGAAGGGGGAAAATGCAACGCCATAAGCCAGCCTTCCCTCAACGCAGTGTGACCTTTTTTGGGGGGGAGACGGAGGGGGAGGAACAGCCATGCTGGCAAGGGCGATGAGGAGAGAGAGCTCTAAACCCAAGAAATCTGGACGTTTAACGGGGTTGGGAATGGCTGCCTTATTCGTCCTCCCTGGGAAACAGCCAGCAGGAGGAGGAGGAGGAAACAGCGTCCACCGCAGGCACTTCTCTGTTTCCTGGCAACCTCAGTGACTCACGTTCATAAAAAAGTAAATAAGCTGAAGGCCCTCCTTTTCATTCACAAGGTTGCTCTCCTTTCTCGTAATCCAGGGATGCGCTCTGTGACCTCACCTGGAGGCGGAAAATGAAATGGATCCGCTCAGAGATCCAGCTGGGTTCTTCATAGGGCTGCCTCTACAGAGGCCCAGATTTTATATCTTGTTATTTGGGAGAGGTGAATGGTTTCATAATGCTATGCATCCTTTTTTCTACCGGAGGGCTTTTCTTTAAAAAAACGCCCTTAAATAGAGCCTGGATATAGCTATCCACGTTGCAGTAACTTCTCTAGACGGCTGTCTAGAGGCTGTAATGTGACATAGGAAGGACTTCTTCTAAAGAAACTGCAGTTTATAGAAAATACAGCTGTTAGGTAACCTGGCTTGATAGAAACCATATCATTTAAGTAGCTACATTTATTCTGTACCAACACATTGTTCAATAGGTAGTATTTCTTGCATCCCGTAATTTTCAGCCATTGTCTTTGAGTCCCATTGCCATTTGAAGTTACATGGATGGTAACCTGAGACAGCCTTTTTGACTGAGAAACCAGATATTTGTTGCATTTTGAATTTTTTTTTTTCCTGTTTGCTGCAGCATTTCAGAAGTCTGAATAGTGAATTTCAATTCCTGTTTTGTACTTTAGCCATGTTTAGTAAGCCACTGCAGCTATCTCTGCCTCCCCGGTTTTATTGTTTACTTGGTTTTAAACTCCTTTGTTTCTGAGAAAGTATATTGAAAAGCAGATTATTAATTGCATTATAAATAATGCTCAAATAATCTTAATCACTCAGAAAAGCATAATTGAAATTAAAGTGCAAAAGAGCATTCTCCCCCCCCCCCCCCCCCCCAGAAAACCCACCAACAATTGAATCTGGAGTCCATAGAACAGGATGGGAAAAATAGAATGAATTAAAATGAGTTTCAGGTTGAGAAATGTTGTCATATTCTAGAAGACACATGGGTATACTGTAGTAGAATTGCTCTGGAAAGACCTATTTACTCCCTTTCACAAATCTAGATTTCCCATTTTTAGGAGCTCTATATTCTTTATTATAGGGATCTCTCTTAGAATGCAAGAAACTTTTTGTCCAATCAATTTCAGTCACCTTCCCTCATATACTTTCTATTGTAAAAAGGCAAAGCTTGAGATATTCTGGAATTGGGATGTGTACATTCAAGTTTTTATCTTTCATTCAAATAACTGCTCCCTCAAATAACATTGTAAACTTGAAATAAATGCCCCTTATTAGGTGACTGCATTTTGTTCATCTTGTCTTGAACTCTTGTTATCATCTCTGTACAGCAATTAAACTGTGATGCAATATTAAAATTTAGAGCTAGATACAAAACATCTTGCTAGCCTTGAGCTATTGTACTATGTGGAGGGGAGTTTACACAACTGCTTCTGTCCTGTACTCCTTGAGTATTGGTCCTTGCAGCGATGACAATAGGACAAAACAAATGAATTCTATTTTGCCACTATCAACCCATTTTAAACACTCCAATGGAGTGAAACTCATATAATCAGAGTCCGTTCTTAAGCTGAAATGTATACCAATCTTCAAAAGAAGGAATTGGTACCTTTAGTAATACGCAAGCCTTGAAAATTATTAAAGAGTAACTGTGATGAATATTCTTAATTGGAAGATGGGGATAATATTGTAGATAAACTTTCAGTGTATTCCAGAGCATCCAGCCCTTTGAATATTACTGGATTTTATTACATGCTTTTTCCATCTGCAGTTCTGAAAGTTATGATAGCATCCTAGAGAAAAAATGTAGAAGTATTTTTTATGAATCAGTGAGTGTATAATTAAGAAGAAAGTTGTGTATATGTTCACACATCTGAGCTCAGGAATAAATCATTGTATTTGGTGGGAAATGAAATATTTTTAGTGGACAGCTGCTAGCTAACTTGCAGAAAGCACTTTCAGGAAATGGTATCCAGAATTTGTGTAGGTTTCCTGTATTATCCTTTCCTCCAATAAAAGATTTATATTATTCTTTTCCCCTCAGTTCCCCAGCTGCTATCTTGAACTACCAGATGGCCTCTTTCTCAGTTTTGAATTTTGAAATAATTTTTTTGAGCTGAAAGAAAGGTGTGAATAGTGTGAGAACCATCAGTTGTTACCGAATTGCTTGTTCTTAGTATTGGCTAAAGGTGATAGGTATTGGAATTCAAAAATTCATATAATCATTTTTCACTTCATTCTTGTTTGTAATTTAATATCAGCTAGTTAAGGAATAGTTAAAGATTTCCCTAATTCAGATACTTCATTTACTTCAGATACTTCAGACTTCATTTAGACAGATCTTAATGGCTGAAAAATAATTGTTAGAAATTTCAATTGAAGTAGTATAACTTTAAAGAATGCAGATTACAGTGTTAATTTGTATTCATTTTGGAATGCTTTTAGATTTTTCAATGATAATTTAAGATAACTCCTTGAATCTCACCCATTTCTGGAAGAAGATAATGCAATTCCAATTTCCATTCCTTACATCTGTATTTTTGCTATGCTGTAACTTTGGGCATGATGCCGTCCACTATAAACAAGCTCCAATTAAGTCCAAATGTAGTGGTATAATTTATTCTGCATAAAAGAACCAAAATATACATTTTATACGTTGATAGAATATATTTCATAATTTAAAATATCATATTGCATAGAAAAACTGAATTTCACAGTATTTCTCTCTGCCATCATGTTCACTGGAGGCAGAAAAACATGAACAATTCAGTTTCTGTCTCTCAGATTCTAATGACATGGAAAGTATAAATCGACAAATAACAATAAAAAAGCTCTGGAAAATTAAATTATAAATAGATATAAATAAATAAAACAATTCCAGGGCTAACCTTTTTGTTTGAAAGTATTCTATGTACAGTATTTTGCAGATGATGGTATGTTTAACAGTTTTGGTTGGCTAAAAAATCAATCACATTAACTTTAATATCTTTACATTAAATGGGTATCAATGTCCTTAGATCAAACTCTTATAAAAAAAAATTCTAATCAAATCATGTAACTTAAACGTTCACACACACACACATGCATACGCATACACATGCACACACACAACATTTGTCTATTGGGAAGATGCTGTTTTTCAAATTAGGACTTCATTTCGGGAGTTAAAACATACTGTTACACTTTTTGATATCTGTTTAATGTATCTTACCCTCAGGATGTGATCTTTCATGGTATGGTGCTGGGAATCTGTGTTTTAAATCACCCCAATGGATGCAGAGAGTGATGTTGCATTGGATATTTTAATCACAAATGTGGTCTGTGTCTTTCGAACAAGATGTCATTTAAATTTGCGAAAGATTGCTTTGGAGGGAGCAAATGTGATATATAAGCGTGACGTTGGGGTAAGTAACATTTTAATTTTAGAATACTCTCACGAATATTGGAAACTTTAAACAGCTCTATATAACAAAACAGTTTAGATAATTTATTTGGTAATAAGGATTGAATTTTTTTTACAGTGTCAGGCACTCAGGAGAGTGTCTTCAATGTAATTCTCAAATGGAAAATACCCCATTGGGAGTTCCTATGCCTTTTAAAGGAATTGTATTTTTCCTCTACAGCCAGGCCTTTTTAGATTGAATTAGTTTATCGTGATATGAGTTCTCAGATTTTAATTGTTGCATTGCATGCATAACAAGCGTACAAAAATGTTTATGTAATATTTCAAGCTCAAAGGCCAATCTTACCAAAAGTGTTCTAACAGCCATAATCAGAAGAGTATTGGAATACTTTTATAAGATGGGATGGTGGTTTTTAATTCAATCAGCAGTATATCAAACTTGAGCAATCTGTTTCAGATTTGAGATGTTTTGTACACTTCTAGTGTATATAGTAAAAACAAAATCATTGTGCTAGTTCTTACCCTTAAAACCTTCAGTACTTTAACTAAATTGCTTGAAAGACTGTCTTCATTTTATCAACCTGCCTGCCCTTCAGTTGAAGGCTCTCTTGGCCATACTTAAGGGAGATAGTTGTGTGGTTAAAACAAAAGAGAGAGCTTTTTCTATAGTAGTTCCACACATATGGAGTATCTTGCTATCTGGGGTACATCAGCACCATTAGTGCGAGCTTTCTGAAAAGTTAATAAATGCATTTATTTATACCTTGAAATGGTCTTGCTGCTCTTCTAGTTGAAACAGATTTTAGTATTATAAAATGTGTTTTTTAACTTTTTTTATTGTGTTACTGTTTTAAAATGAGCAGCTGAGAAACAAAATGTCAGCATGGGAGAAAGACCTAAAATAGGGATTTTAACCACAATTTGTTTATATTAGCTTCAGAATTGAATTTCTGAAATATAATCATTTCTGCTTTAAAGTTTAAAAAATTCAGGTTGATGAATATTAGACATTTATATAGCTGATACTTTGTTCACATGAATTGCTTATATAATTGGAATTCTGTCCACAAGTAACCCATACTGTGTAACTTGTTTGCAAATAAATATTGTTTTGTTGGTAAAGCATCATGCCTGAAAAACTACAGTAATAAGAATTAATTGCAGGAGATTCAAGAGCTGAAACAATTTTGATTAAAATACTAAGAGAAAGGACCCAGTTATGGGGGCAATAAGCTGACTTTGTATAAATATACAAAAGGATGAAGGCTATTGCTTAGCACACTGTAAGCCGCCCTGAGTCTCCGGAGAAGGGCGGCATATAAATCAAATTAAAAAAAAAAAAAAGGAAGAAAATTTGTTACTATGTTGAGGTTCAGACTTTTCTTGGTTTTTACTGTGGTATAGTTACATACTGTTATCATAGACTTCCTTAGCCTAGTATCCTTTTGATGCATTAGATTTCAGCAGTTATCTCCTTGTCAGCTGTAATGTAAAATTAATGCTTAAAATCTTGCCTTTTTATTGGAGTTGTTTCAAAAACAACAAAACTATGTACTAGTAAGAAACTTTTTAGTTTTTCCCCCAGTGTAGAGTACTTCAGAAGTGAAACTTCATGTTGAATCTTTCTACAGTAAATGATAGCATTTAGATCTCTTTTTAGATTTCTCAACTTATTTTTCCCTGATTGATTTCAGAAAGTATTAATGAAGCTTAGGAAACCCAGGATTACAGCAACAATTTGGTCCTCAGGGAAAGTAATTTGCACAGGAGCTACAAGGTATAATCTATATTTTATTGCTTTTTAATTAAATCGTTTATGTATTAGTAATGCTTAATTGCATAATCCCTTAATTGGTTGTTTGTTTGTTTTGAACTCTAGTGAAGAAGAAGCAAAATTTGGTGCCAGACGACTAGCCCGTAGTCTGCAGAAACTAGGTTTTCAGGTAATTTTTCTAGTGAAATAAATACATTTTGCTTTATTAAGTCAATTGTGACATGACACCTCTCTTCTTGTTTCATTCAGAGATTTTTCTTATTGGCTCGGTTTCTAGAAAGTCAACTGACTATACTCACTACTCACTAGCAATTAAAACCCTTTTCCTCTCTGATGAATCCTGTGCGTTTCAGGCAAAACACCACAAAACAAAATGGGGTCAAAAAACATTTTTTTTTCTTTTCATCAATTTCTTTGAAAAGGAAAGTTTCTCTCATCAGCTGAGTCATTGCAAAAAATGCCTAGATCCTTTACTATAAAAAGAAACCAGGTTCTTTTGTAAGAATGCAAAAAGAATTGAAGGAACATCACAGCTCTACATGCATTCCCTGCAAAAACTCAATGCTAAGAGCAAGTCTTCTTCCACCTCTATGTTCCCTGTTTGTGTTCATTTTGTCTCTGTTGGTTTGTATGCTATTATTTGGCTAAATGTCAGTAATAAAATGTTTTCTCAGCTACCGATTCTGACTTTACCAATTATAAATCCAAATATAAATAAATAGTTTATTAAAAGAAAAGATGAGTGCATGCTTTATTTGCAATAAAATAACAATGTGTTCAATTTGACATATAATTCAAAGGTGAATTATATTTACTGGCTAGTAAATAGAATTTAATCATAGTATTCAGACATCAGTTGCATTGCATGTGTGGATGCAGGAGTGTGTCCATGTGTATGTATTTTAGGAAGCAAAGTGCATTCTTTCACAGAGTGCAATGGGAGGAGGCGCACTTCTCATGACAAAATAGCTTGTCTTAAAAATAATCTAAATCAGTATTTCTCAATCTCATCAACTTTTAAGATGCGTGGACTTCAATTCTCAGGCTAGCTGAGTTCAGTACTTCCTAATGAAGATTTGTTTGCTGTGAAACAGGAATACGATTAAAAGGACAATTACAGAATATTTCTCAGTTTTTGGGAACATTAGTAAATCTTGATTGCCATTGCAGCAACTTAATTGAATTATACGAAGTTGATTACTGAAATAATTTTCTGTTGACTTAAATATGTTAACTTCTTTTCTCAAAAAGGTCTTATGCTAAAAAGCACATTCTAGCCATAGTTACAGGAAACAACTGGTGGCTTCTTTGAAATGAGACAAAAATGTATATAACCTCTTTATTTAAGTTTTAAAAGTGTTCTAATACAGCTATCTCCACATGTTCTTTCTCCTTCAAAAAGGTGATTTTTACAGATTTTAAAGTTGTCAATGTTTTAGCAGTATGCAACATGCCGTTTGAAGTCAGATTGCCAGAATTTACAAAAAACAACCGACCCCATGCCAGGTATAGTCCAATTTAACAGTATTATTATACGATACAAATTGAAGTTGTTTTAATTTGAATAGAACAAATTAAAATTATTTTATGTTTTTGTATTGGGATTTATTTTTGAAATATGTTTTGTTTATTTATTTCCTAGTTATGAACCAGAGCTTCATCCTGCAGTGTGCTACAGAATAAAAACACTTAGAGCTACTTTACAGATTTTTTCAACAGGAAGTATCACAGTTACAGGTACTCATTCATTTTTGTGAATAAATATCTTCCTTAGCAATGGGACCTCAGGTAATTAAAGATAGCTGTATAACCATGAAAACAATAACAAAAAATTACCTTTATTAAGACAGACAATCTGCTACAAAAGAATTTTTCAAAAATCTGAATTGAATAGAATTCTTTGCTCAGCAAGATGTTAAACATAGCTGGTGTTGGAATGGAGGGGTGGGAATGACAGTTAAAAACAGGTCCAATGTTTTTATGAATGCTAGCTCTAATTCCCAGGCAGCAGTATGTAGATTGGATTAATCCCCAATTACTTCTTTCTTACCTTCTCCGACAATATAGCTAAAATTCAGATCTCTTGCATTGAGTAAAACATAGCTTATGCCCAATGGTGGGTTGCTACCGGTTTGCCCGGATTCGGCCTAACCAATAGCAGTGGCGGCGGGAGGCTCCGCCAACCCACCCGAACGTCATCAAATACGCTCTGCGCATGCACAGAAGTGGTATGCACACGAGCAAACCAGTAGCAAAGGTAAGTGAAACCCACCACTGCTTATGCCTAGGTAGAAAACAAAGAAGAGAAAGTAAAGAGATTTTACATAAGGAAAACTATAGATTATTTATAGAGTCTGTGGTTGGCAAAACAAAACTAAAGAGTTACACATTCAAGTATTGTGAAACTAAGTTATAAAAATATGGAGTCACTACCGTGTTTCCCTGAAAATAAGACTCTGTCTTATATTTTTTTGAACCCTGAAATAAGCACTTGGCCTTATTGCCATGCGCTCAAAAGCCCGATTGGGTTTATTAGCAGGCAATGTCTTATTTTGGGGAAAACATGGTATTTAATTGGTAGAAAATAACAATGATATGCTAGATTAATAGATGCAGAAATAGCAATTCTAGTCTGCAAGACTATATGAAAATCCTTAGAAGGCAATAGTTCTTTTCGGATTGGCCCCAGTACTAAGTAAGAGTGCCATATTCTTATTTTTAAACAAATTACGTTTAAGTGTAGATCCTGTATGCTCATTTTTGTAGATGACATAACACCTTGTTTTTCCATTAAAATGGTATCATCAATCCTATGTGATAAATGACGTTTGAATGAAAGCAGTCAGATTAAATTTTAGACTGAAAGTCTAATAAAGTGAAATTTGAAAATCTAATAGATAAAAGCAGAAAAATAATTGAGTGAGATCAGTTAATTGTCACAATTAGGTATTAAATTCAGTAGTCCATCCATAAATCAATATAACTGACAAAAGAACTGGTTTCTTATATCATAAGAAGTAGTTTAGTTACACATCCAATTTAATTATGAGCACATGGGGAAATATTGTTTTTTAATCAGGAATGTAGTATACAATGGAAGAAGGCTTACATCTCCCTTTCTGCTTGTGACTTACATACTTTTAAGAATAAATATCCCATTGTACCAATGGGAACATTCTTTTTTTTATACTTTAGCAACTCTGGGGAAGTAACAATTTTGTTCAGTCTTGCTGAGGAGAGAAGAAATAAGACTTTGATTCCTACATGTTGGGATCCCAGTGAAGATTTTCTGGACTTATAATTGAAGAAAAACAAGATAAATAGTTATATTAAGGTCTAATTTGAGTTGGAGTGTTGGGTGGCTGTTGATGATAACAGGTAATTTACAACAGTATAAAGTGCAAGTAGCAAATATGGTGAAATCAGTTGCTGAATTTGCACTTTTTTATGGTACAGCTAGTCTTCAATGTGAGGTGAGCGGAGATCCATCTAGGAGGTTTATGGATGCATGTGATGTATAATTTAATTAATGTTTTCAGGCTAGTTTTATTTTCTGCTTCAGTAGTGTTGGAATTGTTCACTTAATATTGGAGAAAACAGTTGTCGTAAGTATTAAGTTCCACTAATAAAGTTTAGGAGTTTCAAAGATTTGTTTCTGTGTGTCTTCTGATCCTTTTTTCCCCCGTTTATTCTTAGGGCCAAATGTAAAAGCTGTTGCCACTGCAGTGGAACAGATCTACCCGTATGTGTTTGAGAGCAGGAAAGAAATTTTATAATTTGCCACTTCACGGTTAGGTGAACTAACCAAGCACCTTTTATAAGACTGCTGCATATTGGACTTAAAGCAAAAAAAGGGTAAAGAAAAAAGGATTAACTGGACCAAGGCAGCTGAGAAGGTACAAACTCTTGGCCACAGTGATAAACTCCAGTCCTTTTTGGATTTTATTTTGAACAGTGCTGTATTGTAAAAACAAAAGTTTACAAAAATATGAAATTGCTGCTTTTTACAAGACATTCTATTTATTTCTGCAGTGATTTCTGTGTTCATAAGCAGAATTGTCATGATATGCACTAACCTTGGAAATACTTCTTTAGGTTGAGCTTGTGTTTTTATTTGTTAATAGTCTTTTACATTTTTGTATGCTGACTGTTGGGCACCAAAGAAGCTGTAGACATTACCTTTTTCACCTGACAAACATGCACAAATAAAAGTCTGCAAAACCTTCCTTCATACCTGTTCTGTTACATTCCTTTTCCCTTTTCAATTAACAATTGTATATTGGCAAAGTAACTAAAGCATTATTAGTGTAATCTTTTGTTCATTTTTTTTCTTCCAGTTTTAGTGTGCGTGTGTAAAGTGGTCAATAGCAGAATAGGTTCAAGTGAATGACAGATACATATGTGTACAAAGGACAGACTCTGTTTTTTCTGCAATGTATTTGTAAGTAAATGCAGAGGTTGGCTGATCTTTTTCTGCTTTGCTCAGTAAGGGCACATTCTGGATCATAACAGATTTTAATGAACATTGTATTCAGTAAAGATAGAAGTACCATGATAGCACTTGATGTTAGTAAAATCAGCTTACTGTGTCCATAATTCAGATACAGTTTTGGTTGGTTTTTTAAAAACTGCTGTGAATTACTTCCATTGACTAGTGTTATTTTTCAGGAAAAAAGTTTAATTGATGTAGACCTTTTAGCTACTTCTAAAAAATTGTCCACACTTGCCAAATACTGCTATAGTACTTCATTTTTGTTTTTTATTCTAACATGTAAGAAAGCTTGGTTTTGACATGTAATCTTGGGACTTCAAAAGCCAATGTTGAATCTCTCAGTACATGTGCATTGGTACAGATGAGTGGTATTTTAATTAAATTTTAATTGGAATGAAGATGCTACTCTCATCATATACAATAAATATGTAAAAATGCAGATGTCTCTTTTTCATATCTAAGCCTCAAAAATGAATAAATGTTGATATGAACATTGCAAATACCATGTATTCAGTTCTCAGCTTCCACTTCAGATGAAATAAATTCAGCAGAGTCCTGCAGATAAAAATCCGATTGGCATATTTTTTTCAAACTATTTTTAAAATACTGTTCAAATGTCATGAGAACTTTGGAGGTCTGCTGGAAAAATGATATATAAATTGTGCTTTGGGAGAGGAGACAAATGGACTGAATATAAATAGACATTGTGTTATTCCAACCAGAAAGTGTGCTAAATATATCTTCCTAAAGCATTTTCATCTAGGAAGCAGGCTCACCTTTTGAGAGGCATCTACTCACATAGATTAAAACATGGAAGCAATGATTATGCATATACCTAATAATAATTACGATGGAACTAGAAGGAGTACCTCCATAACTACAAGCTAATGTTGATTATCATCTTTTGCGTGCGGCATCAAGTCATGTGTGACTCATGGTGATGCCTGGACAAGTTCCCTTGGCAAGATTTTGGAAATGGTTTGCCATTGCCTGCTTCCTAGGGCTGAGAGGGTAGGACTCACTCAAAGTTAGTCAGCTGCTTTTGTGTCTTAAGGCGGAACTAGAAGTCATGGTCTCCTAACTACTACACCAAGCTCTCGCCCCTAATCATCCCTAATCATCTAGTGTTCATTATTTGTTAATTGCTTCTTTGGAAACTTATGTAAGATAAATGCAGTGTGTATGAAAAAGTATGGAGATAAATAAGAATGATAGAATGATTACACCCTCTACATTAACTTTTAATTAGTCATAATTTACATTTCAAAAGTGTATTGCTTATAAAAGTGACACTTCCTAGATTGATGATTTGGAGTGCAATTGTGCCAAATTTCAAATTGATCTGATAGAAGTTGCAATGAGTACAGCAAGTTAAAAAGCAGTAAATATTTACAAATTTATCCTTTGTATTCAGACATACTGTATATTGGGTGTAAACTATTGGTGCACTTTATTAATTAATTCATTTCTATATGGTGCTCAAAATTTTCAGAGGTTTTCTGCCCCATTAAAGAAGAGCAGCAACTGTTAAAATAATTATCTATATATAAAAAAGGATATATGTAGGTATGTATGTAGGTATGTTCAAGCATATCTCTGGAACGCTTCGAGCAATTTCAACCAAACTTGGTGCACAGATGACTTACCCTCTGGAGACAAACACTGTGGGGATAAGACACCACTAACACCTCTCGGTGTCTGTGTGTGTGTGTTCCAGCATAACTCTGGAACACCTTGAGCAATTTCAACCCAACTTGGTACACAGATGACTTATTCTCTGGAAAAAAATACTGCGGGGGTAAGACACCCCTAAGATTCTCAGGTGTTTGTGTGTGTGCCCCTTGGCACGCAGGTGGCACACAGCCCAACTCAGTTCCACTGCGCGCCTCCCACTGGCCAGCTGATATTCGGGTCTCTGCCACGCGTGCACGGGGGGGCGTGCAGGGGAGTGAGGTGCGAGACAGGGAGGTGTACTAGGCCAAAAACAGAGGGCGGGGCGGCCCTCCCGCAGCCCATTTTGGCTCACTGGTGGCCTACTAGACCCAAAACGGGCCCTGGGGGGGGTTGTGCGCACATGCGCAGGAGGCGAGGCGGATTAGGATGAAAAATTCCCGGGCAGCGCCAGGTCATCAGCTAGTATTGTATAAACCAGATACCAACCTAATTTGAGGAGGAAAAGATTAGATTGCTTAGAGCACGGGTGTCAAACTCACCACATCACATTGCCGTCACATGATGCATGACACATCCAGCTTGCAGGGACTGCCAGTTTGACACCCCTGGCCTAGAGCTGTGATGTCTTGGCATGCAGCGCCCTTTGTAGGCACGCGAGCCGTCACCCCAGTTCAGCTTTGCTCCCACCGGCCAGTTGGTATTCGGGTCTCTGCCACGCATGCATGGGGGGGATGCAATGCGTGGGGAGCGTATGTGCAGGGGCCACACATGCATTGCATTTTGGGGATTCAGGCACACTTTCGGCACTTGGTCCGGAAAAGGTCACTGGCCTATAGCAACTTTCAGATATGTGAACTTCAACTCCCAGAAGCATGCGGTCTGGGGAATTCTGGAAGTTGAAGTTCACACATCTTAAAGTTGTCAAGATTGAGAACTGTCGCCTAGAGGAAACAGGATTAAAGTACAGGAAAGAGGTGTACCCAATATTTTCATATTAATTTAGCAACAACACTTAATCTGCTATCTCAAAATGTAGCTTTTTAAATTTTTACTCTGCCTTTAAAGTTTTTATTCCAATTAGTAAACTTTGTTTTACATACATGTAGTAAATTGCTTAAAATGACTAGCATTCTGTTTCTCATATGAATTCATTTGCACAAAAGTGACTCATACAGTAGTGAGACTGTATGAGTGTATGAGACTGTATGAGACTGTTCAAAATTGTCAATGATGCATTTTGCTAAACATTTTGTTACATGTGGCCATCATAACTATATGGAAAGAAACTCAGAAAAGCAGAGAAAACATTCTCATACAAATAAAGTCCAGATCAATATAGCTGGTATTTAGCAATCAGGAGTTTGAAGAGAACACTTAAAAGGCTTTTAAAATGAGTTAGGAATTGCTTTTGGCCCACAATTACAGAAGATCAGGAACATTTCTCTGTTGATTGGACCTCCACATTATATTAAGCAATGATTTGTTTTAATCTTATTTTTTTTTTAAAAAAAATCACAGTAGCCTGGTTTACACAACTCTAAGCCATAAACTATGGCTTACAGACCACAGTTGTTCAATTCATGTTATATACCAAGCAAAAATTAAGATAGACTGCATTATAATTTTATAGTAAAATATGCGATTGCAGCCAGTGATTTGAAAAGGCTTATTAGTTTAGTAGGGGACAAAGACGATGAGCAGCAGTAATGGTCTACGAGGTGCTTTAGGTTACAAGTAGCTAATTCATAGTGCCTACATACTAATGTTAAAACATCAGTCTTTTCCCATCCAAAATTAAAAGAAATCAGATGTTTCAAGACTAGTATAGCCATAATTTCATTTCTTAATCTGAAATCTAATAGAAAAAAAAAAGATTCAGTCTTCATGGACTCAACACAAAAGCGGGTAACTCACCAGCCCTGCAGGTACTTTGATGTAGTCTAATGTAAGTCTTGAACCCCCCCCCCGCCCCCCGTCCTCCCATCATATTGCCACTTGCCACATCTAGAAATACTTCCAGCCAGAGAATTGCTGGGAAGAAATAAGTAATAGAGGTTTTCAGATTTTCCTCCTTGGTGGTTGTAATGCAACTGGCAAAAACATGCTGTTTCTTTTGCATGTGAGGGTACATATCACTGGATAAAGCCTCCAATTGCCTTATGTCACATCTGGACTTTGAACCTGCTAAGACTAATAATTTTGGTAATTATTTAAGGCTGATGTAACCTCTAGTCTGAACAATCTAAAAGAGAGAAGTTATATTTAATTTATTTATTTATTTATTTTATTAAATTTCTATACCGCCCTTCTCCCGAAGGACTCAGGGCAGTGAACAGCCAAAAGATAAAACACAGAGATACAAAATTTAAAATAGATTAAAACAGATTAAACAATTTGGCTAAATTTTAAAAATATCCCATAATTAAACAAATTAAAATTAGTGTTTAAAATTTAAATTTTAAAATTTTAAAAGGGAGAAGATTTAGGCCAGGCCAGCTTGATGAAATAAAAACGTTTTAAGCGCGCGACGGAAGGTGCGGAGATCCGGGATCCTCCGTATCTCCGGGGGGAGCTCGTTCCAGATCATAGGTGCCCCCACAGAGAAGGCTCTCCCCCTAGGGGCCGCCAGTCGACATTGTTTGGCCGACAGCACCCGGAGGAGCCCCTCTCTATGGGAGCGTACTGGCCGGTGGGAGGCTATTGGTGGTAGCAGGCGGTCCCGTAGATAACCAGGTCCTAAGCCATGGAGCGCTTTAAAGGTGGTAACCAGAACCTTGAAGCGCACTCGGAAGACCACCGGGAGCCAGTGCAGCTCGCGCAGGAGAGGTGTTACATGGGAGCTCCACGTTGCTCCCATAACCACCCGCGCGGCCGCACTCTGCGCCAGTTGGAGCCTCCGAGTGCACCTCAAGGGGAGCCCCATGTAGAGAGCGTTACAATAGTCCAGACGAGAGGTGACGAGGGCATGAGTGACTGTGTGTAGGGAGTCCCGATCTAGAAAGGGACGCAACTGGCGGATCAGGCGAACCTGATGAAAAATCCTCCCGGTCACGGCCGTCAAATGCTCTTCTAGAGACAGCCGTGAATCCAGGAGGACGCCCAAGTTGCGAGCCCTTTCCGTGGGGGCCAATGATTCGCCCCCAATAGTCAGCGATGGCACCAGCTGACTATATCGGGACGTCGGAAACCACAGCCACTCAGTCTTGGATGGGTTGAGCCTGAGCCTGTTCCTCCCCATCCAGATCCGTACGGCCTCCAGGCACCGGGACATCACTTCAAGGGCATCGTTGGGGTGGTCCGGGGTGGAGATGTACAGCTGGGTGTCATCAGCGTACTGATGGTACTTCACCCCGAAACCAAGGATGATCTCGCCCAGCGGCTTTACATAAATGTTGAACAAAAGGGGCGAGAGGACCAATCCCTGCGGCACCCCACATATGAGGGGCCTCGGGGTCGACCTCTGCCCCCCTGTCAACATATATTCAAGCATAACAGCGAACCATAGTTGAACAGTACCAGGATATGTCTTGAAAAGCCTCAAGTTCTTATCCGTTCTACTCATTCCGTAATGTGAACATAAATAGGAAACTGGAAGTCCTTATCTCTTGCCTTAAACTAGCCCAGCATATTGCTAGGTCAGAACACTGAAGAGCTGCGTTGACTCAGATCAATGGCCTTGCAAAGGCCAGTGTTCCTGTACAGTAGCCAACAAATGCCTGTGGAAAGGCCACCCACAGCAGCGAGTGCAAAACTTCCCACCATTCA